ATATATATATATATATATATATATGTGTGTGTATATATATTAAAAGAATAATATGTGTGGAAAATAAAAAAAGACAAGTAAATTAGTAAAAATAGTAAATTATCCTTTACTTAACAAACATTGTTTAAGAGAGTTATTGATTAAATGTCACCTTCAAAGTATAATGAAAGTTATAAGGATGATTTCTAGATTTATCAAAATTTATGTCTTATTTTCAGACTTTTCACTAAATTTTAAAGATTAAAGTTAGAGTTTACTCTTACTTAAATTCAGATTCATTTGATTTGTAATCTTGAACTAAGAATTTATAATTTAAAATACATAATTAAAAATTAAAATTTTCAAAAAAAAAGTTACAGTTTACTTAAATGATATATTAATTATATTATTAAAATATTTTATTATTATTATTATTATTTTTAACTTATTTTATTCTTAAAAACGAATATGAATATATGATTTGGTTACTGGGTCCTATAAATATCTTAGCAAACCGCTTGTATATTTTTTGTATTAAATTATATAAACTGTAATTCATCTTCTTCAACTGTGTCATCTTTAATATCAAATATCAAATATCAAATATCAAATATAATATATTAAATATATTTCTTATCTCAAATATTTTTATATTTATTAATTGTTTACTAATATATTTCTTATTCCTAATTTGAGTTTGGATAAGTTTTAATTGCTTAAAAAAAACAAATTAAAACTGAGTTTTTTTTAATGTTAATGAGATATTATAATCTCTACCTGGGCCGTCCCTGGGGAGGACGGGCCGAGCGTACGTCCAGGGCCCATAAAAATTAGGGGCCCAAGTTTTTTTAATATATATAATAATAGTTCAAAAAAAATTAGTAAATAGAAGATATATAAAAAAATTAGTATCTAATATGACAAGGAAAGATTTTTGTACTACATTAACTATTAAAGATCCAAACATGTATAAATTAAACATATTGAAGACAAAAAATACATAAAGAGGTTAATCTGTCGTTCATTATATAATATTATTTAATATTTTTCTAAGTTTTTTTTTAATCTAAAACCGACGTCTAAAACTACTTACTTCGAAAACTTTGATATATTTTTCATAATTTATCTCCCATCGACTCTTTTGATTATTCCATCTTCGCGTGAGTTCTATTTTTTATATTAAAATATGTTAGATTTTCTTGTTATCAGTTAACATAACCCTCATTTTTTGATAAAATTATCAATCATATGAGACGGTACAACTTATATTTATATTTAGAATAATAAAATTATAATATTTTTTTCATAGTTGTTATTTATTTTCTAATATTGAGTGTATAAATCTTATGTACTCTTCTATCTCTAAAAAAATAATACAATTTCAAACTATCACCAACATGAGTTTTTTAATTTATATAATCGATGATTCCAGAAAAGTTTGTTTTAACCCTAACCCTATCTTTTTTAGTCTTCTTTTACGTAGGAAAAAGAGGAAAGTAATGGATGAAGAAAAATATTATGTTCTCGAGATTTTTTTAGGGAAGGGAAAAGAAACGAAAAGGAAAAAAAATTATATCAAATTATATTATTTATTTCATTATTTTCCTTCCTCTATCTTCTTTATTATAAACACAAATAAAAAAAACTTTTTTTCGTCCTTTCTTTTATTTTT